CCGATGGTTGTACCGATGGTTGTGTGGATGGTTGTCCTGATGGTTGTCTGATTTTCATTCCGATGGTTGTCCCGATGGTTATCCTGACGGTGGTCCCGATGGTTGACCCGTTATGGTTGTCCCGTGTGTACCCCGCGGTTGTCCCGTGGGTCTGTCCCTTTGTCGTCCCGTGATTGTCTAGTAGTTGCCCAGTGGTTGTTCCGTGGCTGTCCCCTGGTTGTCTCGCGGTTGTCCTGTGGTGTTCCCGTGGTTGTTTTGATGTGTGTCCCGATGGTTGTCCCAATGGTTGTTTTGTTGGTTGTCCTGATGGTGTTCCCGTGGGTGTTTCGAGGTTGTTCATCGGTTGTCCCATGGTTGTTGTGATGGTTGTCCTGTAGTTGTTCCGCGGTTGTCCCGACGGTGTTCCGTGGTTGTGTTTTGGTTTTCCCGAGTGTTGTCCCGTGGCTGTTCCGATGGCGTTTTGTAGTGTTCTCGTGTTGGTCTTGCGGTTGCTTTGTGATGGTTTAGTGATGGTGTTGTGTTTGCCCCGTGTTGGACACGTGTTTTTTCCATTGTTATTTTGTGGTTGTGTTGTGGTTGTTTTATGGTTGTCGGGCCTTTGCGTTGTCCAGTGGTTGTTCCGTAGTTGTCCCGCGACTGTCGAACGGCATACAGTGAGGCCGATAGTTTGTGAGACCAGTACGTATGTATTGGAGGTCGATAGATATGCGGGGGTCGATGGATGCATTGATAGGGATGCCGATCGACAGCGAGACCGATTAACAAGTTGATCGTTTGATTGATGATTCTCGAGGACACCTACAGCGAATCACCGCCGCCCCCTTCCTTTTTGAAAGCGCCTCTATGGCCGAAAGTTTGGCTAAAGCTTGGCCAAGCTATCGGACCATGTGTTCCCCCAGCCGTTGATGGAACCTTTCGGGGAACACGTGAGGAAGGAATGAGGAGAATGAGGAGAAGACGGAACAGGGAGGAGAACGATGAGGAGGAGGAGGAGGAGGAAGAGGAGAAGGAAGAGAAGGAGGAGGAGGAGTAGACCTCTTTGGAACCTCTTAGGACACTCTTGGAGTCTCCTGGGAGCTTCTTGGGAGCATCTTTGAGGCCTCTTGCGTAGCGTTGGTGTGTGTGTGTGTTCTAAGACACCACCACTATACCTTCGCTACGCAAGCCCAAATCGACCATACTCCAAACAACCATACCCAAAACAGCCACTTTAAACTCTTCTAGGCATGCTCCGAGGCATCAGCATGTAGGATGCAAACGTACGCTTATTACGCTAGCTCAGCGACCCCACAGTCCCGCCTCACGCACGCAGTCCAAATTTCGGTGGCTTGACTTGGGGGGCTCATTTGGCCTTCCAGAGGTTCAATTAATCAAGGGGAATGCAAATTGAGAGGCTTCGCGTAACACCACCAACCCACGGGCTCGTGATCCGTCCCTCTTCAGGGCTCTATGTGTGCGACTTTGCTGGCGCCATTTCATGCACTTGTTCGTGGTGACCCGCGCCATTTTTGCCGCGCGGCAGCTCGGCTGCTTCCCGTATTCGTGCGTTCTGCTGCCGTCGGGCTTTGCGGCTTCGGCCACCCTGGTTTCTCGCAGCCTGCCAACGCTCACGCCCGCACCGGGCACCAATTCGGCTTCCGACTGTCGGTCCTCTTGGCTGCGGCCGCCCTGGTATTCTCGCAGTTGTCCGGGGTCTTTCGCCCTTGCATTAATTACTCGGATTCTGTCCCTGGTCGTCGTTCTTCCCGACTGCCTGACGTTTCTGACGCCTTGCATACCTGCACACTGGCAGTACTACTCAGTTTCAGCCAGCCCCCCTCCACTCGCCGGTCCGCCGCTGAGATGCTGCGTGAGGCTCCGCCTAGCCGCTTTAGGTGAGGCTGCGCCCCGCTGCTTTATGTGAATTTGTCGCTGCGTGCCCCGCTTTGACTGGACTCGCCGCTGGCGCGCTCGCCTGCGGCCGCTGAATACAAAGTAGCACCACCAACCCATCCAGAAACGATGCTTAGGCGAGTTGCCTCGATCTGTGATGTGGAGGATCATGCAGTAGGATAAAGGGTTGGTGAAGCCGTCATACAGGGGTTGAGGAAACCGTCATGCCCCAAGAGGGGGAGGATGGAGGAGGAATCGAAGGAGGAGGAGGGGGAGGCAACCATGAATTATCCCAGTGCGACCCTACCTAGGAGTTGGAGCCACACAACAATATGCTATGCGATGCTGCGCTGTGCTATGCTAAGCAATGCTCTGCTATGGTAAGCTGAGCTATGCTATGCTTGGCTATGCTATGCTATGCTATACTGTGCAAATGCTGCGCTTTGCTGCGCCAAGCGAAGGTAAGGTAAGCTAAGCTATGCTAGGCTAAGCTAAACGAAGCTAGGCTAGGCTAGGCTAAGCCAAGCCAAACCAAGCTAAGCTAAGCTAGGCTAAGCTAAGTCAATATGAGATAAGGTGAGCTAAACTAGGCTAGGCTAGGCAAAGCTAAGCTAACATAAGCTAATATGATATAAGCTAAGTTAAGCTTAGCTTGGCTAAGCTACGCTGGGTGAGCCCAGGGGGCGCAACTGGGGGAACCGCGGGGCGGGGACTGGGGGAACCGCCCGGGGCGGCCTACATTGCCCGACCGCTGTAAGCAAAGAAAGTAAGAACCCTCTAGGCAGAGCCTACGTAGGGAAAAAGGCAAACGGAACCCGCATTCAGATGCTGCGATGCTCGCGGCCATGCCAAAAAGCAGCCGAGTCGAAACCTGTTTTCCCCATGCGAGTCTCCTGCGTGAGTGTGGCCGAACCTCAGCACAAAATAGCCGAAAGTCCGTCCCATCGGCGCTGGCTGTCGCCTTGGAGCGGGCAGCACACATAACCAGCGTCCCCCGACCCCCCCCAGTCGTGAAACTATCACAACTGGATGTCTTTCTTCAATTTTCGGCCTTTGGGGGCCCTCACGAGGGCCCGTGACCGTCAACAAAAATAGTCAGGATGAAAAGCGGGCCCGACGTCATGACATCACAGAAAATAGTGACGTCGGGAGTCTGGCGTCACCTTCACCAAAGGCTGGCCTGCATATTCAGTCCTGAGAACTTAGGCACGCTTCTGCGATGCCCGCAGACAAGCCACGGGAGTTCTCCCCCCCGAATCTCCTGAATTGCATTGTTTTGGGTCTCCTGAAGCGCTGGTTGACAGGGAGCGGGCACCGCACCAGCGTGAGGGCACCCGCCTTGTCTGGGATGCGGAGGATACAGCAGCGTAGGCCTGTCCACCCTATTTACTACGTGCGCGCAGGGGGCTGTAGCTCAGCCGTGTTCATCAGAGTCCTCACGCGAAGACCCCCGATGTCATGTTTTCTTGTTCACGGCGTAGACCCCCAACAGGTTTGGAATCCCGTTTCTTGGGAACTTGCTTTTCATCCCGGGTCGGTTTTGGTGGCCACGGTGCCTGGTGAGGACCCCCAGGGGCAGAATTTTGCCAAAAGTATCACGTCATGTTTTTCGCACTTCCGAGCACATGCGACGCCCTGATGCTTCCGTATTTCAATGCGCGTTGGTCCCGGGGCCTGGCGAGGGCACCCAAAGGCCGAAATTGGCAAAAAGCACTTGTCCGCGCGGGAGCCCCCTTGGCCCCCTCCCCCACCCCTTGATGCCCGGCAGCGGGGCAGGGGCAGGGGAGGGACAGGGCGGCCCAGATCCTGGGCGCCCCGACGGGGCACCGCCCCTGCAGGACGACGACGCTTGGCAGGAGCAGCAGCCCCCCTCCAGACCGGCGCCCGCCAAGGCCCTGCGCGAGCTTCAAAGAAATAGCAGTTTTAGACGTGATTGAGTAGGTCAATATTTAGTATTCCCGAGGTTATAGTTCCCAGGATCAAGCGTATTCACATAGCGTAAGAATAGTGTTTGTATTACCGTGCGCTGATTCAACATATTTTATTTATCCGAAAGAATGAATAGCAAGAGCAGGTTCCGGAATCTGAATATTATAATCGGTAATGTAACAAATATGATTTTCTTGTACAAGATATTTGTTGACCCGATTTATTTCTTGCAAGCGTTGACATTTTTGTTCGCAGAGTGCTAATCCTTTCAGGGACGAGCTGACAGATTTTCGTTGTCGGTTGATTGCTTTTGAATCGTAAATTTCCATTGGTCCTCAGAGCGATTGTAGTGTTTTTTGTAGTGATCGGGCCCAGGGACCATCAAACATGGATCTGGGACGGAAAGCCACCCTCGGGGAAGGGGTCGGGAGTTTTGGGGCCGCGGATTCAAAACATCATATCGGCGGATGTTTGGGTTTGTTATGTGGGGCAGTTGTTTTTGACTCCACCAATTCAGACATTGCGAAAAATAGGTCCGCGCTGGCGAGCGATTATCATGCCGCCGCCCTCCCAGAGAGCGCTTGGGGGTTCACCAGTGGCGCCGTCGCGGCACAGACGCCAAATATCAGTTTGCGGCAATAGCGGATGTTGCTGATGGTGTCTTTGGCCCAGGGTGTCCTCAGATTTCCGGCGATGTGACTTTTCTCCCAGGCCTAGAGGTTGACCCCAGCACCAATATCAGCGTTGTGCCTCCACCGAGGGAAGAACATCCTGATCTAATTAGGTCATGGTGGTAATACTCCGGCTTCCAAGGTGACCGACATATTACCACCAACACCTAAATCTAGGATCACCTTCCCCCTGTGGAGGCAACCCTCTGTGTTGGTGTTGGTGCCCATTTCCAGGCCTCCAATTTTCAATCGGGGCGTCTTGCGTCGATTTTGGCCCTGGGGCCCGTCATCTGGCCCTGGGCACCAGGGACATCAAGAACATGAATCCAGGATGATGGCGAGTTACCCCATTGGGACAGGGGTCGGGACCCCCTTGGGGGCCGCGCGCAGTCACATCGTCGGATGTCTCCGCGGCCCGGAGAGTGAGGCTCTCAAAACTCCTTCCGGCCTGCGGACCGCAGCCCCTGACCCAGACCGACGGGGGGAGTCGAGCCTCTGCCGGCCGCGCCCGGCCGCCTTCGCGCTGCCATGCCGCGACAGGAATCTCTAGAAGCGGCGCCCGCGCAGGCCCACAAGATGCGGGGGACGACGACTGCGAGGACACGAGCGCGGAGGGGGGAAGCGAACGACGAGGCGACCCGAGGCCACCCCACGGGGGCCCTCGGGGCCTCCAGAGCACCCCTCCCGAGGCCCAGAGGGCCCAGGAGTTCCAAGAGGGCGCGAAGAGCCGGGGGGCGCACCTCGAGCCAGGGGCATAGGTGGCAGCCCCCGATTGGTTCGGTAGCAAATAATCATGGGAGCCCTATGTATCTTCGTAGCTCCGTCTGGAGAGTGCACAGGCGCCGATTCGCTTCTGGTAACCGACGAGGTAGTAGCGTCGATTGAGTGCCGACTCGCGTCGACGAGGTTCGATTCGCAAGAATGAGCAAGATGGTATGGGAGGCTCCCATGAGTTGCCACCGAATTCTGACTGGAGCGGACTGGGCCGCCCTCGTTCTCACGGGAGGAGGACCCTCACATCTTCGCGTCGTGGCCTCCCAGATGGGGTCCGAGCAGATGAGGTCGGAGGATCGCGCCGTATCGCCGATGCATTGGCGATGCGTCGCTGATGCATCGCAGGAGGAGTACCCTCACATCCTCGCGTTTGGAGCCCGCTGGGGGTCTCAGGTGGCCCAGCATTGGTTCTGGAGAGCTGGAAGGGGGGAGCGAGGTTCGAGGTTTTGGGCTTTGATTGTTCTTTTTGGACCGTCAAAAACGGATCCGGGGTGAACAAACGCAGATGGACCCTAGGAGGGGTCGAGGGACAATTCTTGACCGGATTTGCGCATGTCCCTCTCCTTGGCCGATTCTCTGAGGCGTATCCAGTTCAGACCGCCTGGCCGCCTCCAACCTCGCGTCGCGGAGAGATCACGACGGGAGTTCTTGAGAATGGGTCGTTTCAAGATTTCCCAGATCTCCCGATTCCCAGAAATTCTACTGTGCCACGCGGGTTTTCGATACGAGGGCCGCCAGATACTCCGGAATTTCTGAAACGTATCGTGAGCCAATTTTACCATGACGTCGTTCTCGTCCTGACTGGGGGCCCTGACTGGGCCCCAGCAGATCCGTCCAATCATTTCGTTTGGGATGAGAAGCCAGTCACTGGGAAGAGGTCCAAAACACATTCAAAAACAAGGTTTCGCAACATCACTGTTCAAACAAACCTTGCGCGCGTGCTGTTGCGAATTCTTGAGAAAACCGTTGGTTTTCAACATTTTCGCGGAATTCTGCCAAGCGGGCCTCGGGCGCCGCATGCCTACATCCTCGCACGCCCTTGCGCGCGTGTTGGGGGGGGGGCGCGATCAGTGTCAAATAAAACCATGTCGGCCACTCTCGTGCGTCGGTCGCGCGCGCACGTCGAACTCTTCCCAAAACCTCCACCGCCGACGCGAGGACGCCGTCATCGTCGTTGGCGTGATCAGCATCGGCGCCCGCGCTGGCCGCGCCTTCGTCCTTGCGAAAATCGTCACCAGGATCGCCATTATCATCATCGCGTCTACCGTAGCCGGCGTTGCCATGATACCGCGCCCGCCCAAGCCGCCGACTCGCAGTGAAGTGCCCGCCGCGACCGCGTCGGTGGTGCCAAACTAGCTGGCCGCTGCGTGCGCGTGCTAGGGTTGGCGCGGCCGCAGGGATGCACCAGCCAGCGCCAAGCATGCATGTCAATCGCCACCGCATGGGTTCTGCAAACCAAGTTGCGGGTGTGTGGGTGGGATGTTTGCGCGATCAGTTGAGTTGGTCAAGCGCCGTGCAGGGTAGTCAATTGTACCACATATACTGCTCCACGTGGATGAGTCCATATCGGCCGCACCACATATATATATATATGTATGTATGTTTGTATATACATATATATATACACATACACACATTGCACATCATAGTTTGGACCGCGTAGGTCGCACCACATGTATTCTCTGTTTTCCCCCAAAAGCGTAGATTCTACCCCCATCCCCCCTCCCGGGGTTATCCGTGGCGCGCCCCGATGAGAAATGCATATATGATCGCGACTCTTCGTTCACTGCCCTTTTGGATTATACCATACCGTCCCAGGCCAGCCGGTATCGACCTCCCCCCGCCGTCTTCTGCAATCTATATTACGCGCGCGCACTCGTTTATCAACAGTCCTCAGTTTCCAAGAATATTGTGCAAAACGTGGACGACTTGCACGAGCGCGTCGTCGCGCGCGCATGCCAACATCTTTCAAAAACCTTAGGTGCTTGCAAAATCGAGTGTCCAAACAACACTATAAAACCACAGGGCTTCGCAACACGGATTTCCCAAAACGACGTGCGCGCGCGCGCTCGTGCGAATCTTCGAAAACCATAGGCTTGTCAACCTTTTCAGACGATGCTGCCAAACGGGCTCCGCGCGCGCGCATGCCGAAATCGTGCGAACGCCCCTGCGCGCGTGCCGTCGCGAGACGTTTTTGCTGTTTCTTGCAAAAGTGGGACGGTATGCACACCCGCGCGTCGCCGCGTGCGCATGCCGAAATCCGTCAAACACCCTTTGGTTTCGGAAGGGCGTCAAAATCGAGTGTCCCTAATCAACATAAAACACTTGGTTTCGCAACACGGATTTTCAACAACAGCGTTCGCGAGTGCTCTTGCGAATGTTGGAGCAAACCATTTCGTTAGATCGTTCGGATGCCTTTGCGCGCGGGCCGTCGCGAGGATCGCTTGTACAAGTGAGACGATTTGCGCACGCGCGCGTCGTCGCGCGCGCATGCCGAAATCTTTCAAACACCTTCGGTTTCGGAAGGGTGTCAAAATCGAGTGTCCAACAATCAAGCATAAGACCCATGGGATGGACACGCGGGTTTTTAACAGAAGCGTGCGCGAGCGTTCTTGCGAATTCTTACGCAAACGATTTCGTTCGATCGTTCGAGCGCCCTTTTGCACGCGTGCTGGGGTGGCACGATCCGTGTCAAATAAATCCATGCGGGCCGCTCGCGCGTCTGCCGCGCGTACTCCGAATTCCTTCCAACATTTCATCACCTACGCGAAGACGCCGTCACCGTCGTCGGCGTGATCAGCATCGGCGCCGTCACATGTTGCCCCGTCGTCGTTATGAGCATCGTCGTCAGCATCCCTACTATCATCATCGTGTCTACCGTTGCCGACGTCTCCATGATACCGCGCCCGCCCAAACCGCCGACTCGCACTGAAACGCCCGCCTTGGATGTGCCGAGCGGTCAACGCCACCGCGTTCGCGTCGGTCGCGCCGAACTTGCTGGCCGCTGCACGCGCGAACATGCGCGGACTAGCGCGGCCGCAGAGGTGCACCAGCCAACCTCCAGAACTCATCGCAATCGTTTCCGCATGGGGTGTGCGAGCCAAATTGCGGGGGGGTGGTTGGGATTTTTGCGCGAGCAGTGGAGTGGACAATTTCAAATTGAGCAGTGTTGAATTGCACCACCACGATTGCACCGTATACACCGTACCACATAGTTTGCACCAACCTGTATTGATCCATGTGGATTGCATCCCACATATTCATAGAATCGCATCGATCCGGGTCCATGCTAGCTAACATGTTGACCCAGGGCGATTTTAGAACGCCACTGGAGCTGATGTCAAGAATGTGTGCGTCATTGAACGGGCCCCGTGGCCTGGCATCTGGGATGGAAGACCCAACACGAGCTGCGGAACCGTAAAGATGCGTTGAGCCCCCAGCAGCGGGGGTTCGTTGCGATCTCTCGGCCTGTTGTTTTTCGTGCGCCCGAGACTGCGAAAGCCAAAGCTGCCCCCCCCGGATGTAAATTCCTAAGGCCTTTTCCGTGCAAGAATCGCGGCTTGAGGGGCCCATGCGGCGCAAGAAACACCACGCACGAAACCCCGACTTTGCAGGGCCGCCCACGATCCGATTCGATTCGCCGGTTGTGTCCGCGATTTTGATTCGATTCCATGTGTCTTTGTGAACCAGCATCGACCAGGGCCAGCCCGAGCCGGGCGTGGCGATCCGATTCCGATTCGATTCGGGGTGATTGGTTGGTGATCCCATCCGTTTCCGATCCGATCTTATTCCGCGGTTCAATTTGGTGCAAGCCTGCCCTGCAGAATCAGGGCGGCTGCGCCCAATGGAAGACGAGCGAGGACGGGGCGGAGCAGGGGAGAGTTAGGCGGTGTCCATCCCGAGTTGTTTTTGGCGGTCCTGGGGCCTGGCGAAGGTCCTCAGAGGTCGAAATACTGAAACATGTCAATTTTTGCTCAGCACGTTGGAGGTTTAGGAGAAAGTTCGAAATTAATGCATTTGGCTTCAGCTTCGTTCAGACACGTTCCTTGATTTATGGCTGCTCCGGGCTCCTGGAGGCACCAGGAAAGCCAGTTGCACGCAGCTTAACCGAGCGCCCCCGATAATAAAGCATCCCCCCCTTAACTAAGGCTTGAGAGTTGACCATTCCAGGCCGAGACGGAGTTCTTGGTCGGGGGAAAGGGGCGGCGAGGCCGAATTTCATTACCGCTGGGGAAATACGAATCGAAGTTGTTATGTTTGTTCTGTTGAGCAGCAGCGTTGTCACGAACGCATGGCAGAGTTATAGGATTCTTACAACGTCCAGCTGTCCTAACTCATGAATGTGTGGCAGGGCTGTTGGATTTTCACGACTCAGCTTTGCGAAGTCACGAACGTGTGGCAGGGCGATGGGATTCTCTTCCCAGTCACAGCGTGTGGCAGGCATGTCGGGTTCTAACCATTTCAGTTTTCCCAAGTCACGCGGCAGAGCCATGGGGTTCTCATTCGTTCATCTTTCCCAAGTCGCGACCGTGTGGAAGTGCCATTGGATTCTTAGAATTTCAGATTTTCCAAGCCACAAATATGTTGCAGGGCTTTGGAGTTCTCACCAGTTTAGGGTTCCCAAGTCACTTAACTTTTTTAAGTAGAGACTCGCATCCATACATGCGAGTTCCGTGGGCCCCCCGAGGAACATTTCCCATCCCTATTTCCGTAAATGCGAGTTGCCGGAACGAGAAGTGATTGATCCCCCCGAACACAGAATTTGATTATCCACCGAGTGTGATGATTTTGTATTCGGTTAGTAGCTAGTTCCCTGTCTGTTAAACCGCCCGCTTTGCCCGACCCGACCCAATGTCTGCCCAGTTTCTCGCAATTGTGGGCATCTCGAGGAAGATTTTGGGTCTCGAGATGAAAAGCCGGCCCCGAGGTCTGGGGGCCCACCAACGGGAGATATTGCAAAGCCACATGTTTATCATCCCCAGGGATAAGATGGTTTGTTTGTTCGATACGGGATCCACGGAAGTGGCGGCCCTTTTTTCAGTAAAGCATTTGCTGAACACAGCCAACAAAAACGTGTGTGTTGATTTTCGAGGCCTGGAGAAGCTCACTCTTCAGAGACATCCGACGATTTGTTTTTTTTCCAGTGCGGTGCCCCAGAAGTCCCGAGGATCTCACATAGCTGGGATTGAAAACATAGCAGTTGCCGCCAGAGATTTTGGCTCAGGGCCCCCTCAGCCCCTCCAACTCATCTTCTTCCTCCTCAGACCCCCGACGTCATGCTTTTTTCGCAGCGTGGAACTTTCGAGGTTTCCACCCATCACCCATTCTCTGGGACCAGATTTCCGTCCCAAGTAATGTTTTGACGGTCTGGGGCCCGGCGAGGGCCCCCAGAGGCCGCTAATTGCAATACCTTACCTCTCTGGAATCTTTCCAGATGCCAGGGGGTCTGGGCGTCTGGGCCCCGCCTCTTGTCCCTTCCTCTTCCGGCCGACCGGCGCTTGGGGGCGACCCCCCCCCCCCCCGGCGCACTGGGCAGGTGGCGCCGAAGGCCCCGCCACCCTTGCCAGGGGCGGTCGCGGCGCCGCAGCACGCCGCGGCTGGCCCAGGCGGGGGCTCCGCCAGCAGCGGAGGCGCGCTGGCGTCGTCGGCGTCGTCGTCGTCGACGCCCCTCCGCGCGGGTTCCCTACGGCGACGACGACGGCGGCGGAAGCCCTCGGCGGCGACAGTGGCGACAATGACGACGGCGACGGCGACGACGGCGACGGCGACGATGACGACGACGACGACGACGACGACGACGACGACGGCCTGCGGCGGCCCTCGGCCTTCGGAGGCCTTCGGCGGCCCTAAGTGGCCTGGGCAGTGGCGGCAGCGGGTTCCTCCAGTCTTCTCCTCCCTCGCCTTCCTTTCCCTCCTCTTCCGTCTCTCCTCCTCCTCTTCCTCCTCCTCCTCTTCCTCCTCCTCCTCCTCCTCCTCCTCCTGTCCGCAAAGTGTCCTCCCCCTCCTCCTTTCCCTCCTCCTCCTCCTCCTCGTCCTCCTCCTCGTCCTCCTCCTCTTCCTCCTCCTCCTCCTCCTCCTCCTCCTCCTCCTCCTCCTCCCCCTCCTCCTCCTAACAATCGTAAGTGGACCGTAGCCATTTCGGGTCAAGTCTCAGGGATACGTCCCGTGGGTCCCTACTCCAGAGGCTCGAGGCCGAGGTGGAAAGGCAGCCCCTTCCAAAGGCCTGGCTGCCTCGGCCCATCTTTGCGGTTCCTGCGGGGTCCGTCGCAATATCGTCTTCCGAGATCCCCTGTTGGAGCACCTGGCCCGCTCCCCTCTCGTGCGCACTTGGGAGATGGGCTGGATCTATGTACCATGGACAATTAACACCTCGTGCTGGTGGGCGCGGCTCCCAGGCCAAGAAGGAGTACAGCGCGTGCTCAATTTGCGGGCATTGGGAGTACGACTTCCACGGCCACAAGTGTTGCTCGAAGTGTAAAGGTGTTTACTTCCTGCGTCCTCGAGGCGGTGCTCGCGATGTTGGTGATATGCGTGGCGGTGGCCGCGGTGCTACAGGCTCAGGGAATGGAGGAGGTCCGTCACACGACGTTGAACTCGAACGGCTTGCTGGCCTTTTTTCCCCCAGAGCGTGCTGAGGCTCTACGTGGTGCTCGGGGTGCTGTACCTCCTGCGCCTGGCCCTGAGCCTGGGGTCTCGTCCGACAACGAGTTGGAGAAGAAGGTGGCCAAGCGACGCACCGCGCTCGCTTTGGCTGTTGAGCGTGGTACTAAAGCAGAGTGAATTGGCATTGTTCGAGGTGGAGTAACGGTTGGCGGCCGTGATCCGCCACGAAGAGGTTTTGGCTAAGGCTGAGGCAGCACATGCAGAAACAGTTGGGCAATTGGAGCAAGCCGCAGCTGCCCATAGATCTGCGCATGAGGAGAAGGACGCTTTCGACCCCCAGGATTTCCGACGACTGATATTGGCTCATGAACAGGCTGAACGTGACATCCGTGAACGTGAACGACGCGTTGCAGGTGAGGCGCGTGGCCCTGCCGCCCCAATTGCTGGTGCTGCTGATCGTGGGCCTCGTGCCCCAGGCGGCGCCGAAGATGTGCAAGTTGATGCTGGTCGTGGCCCTCCTGCTCGCCCACGAGGGGCACCTCCGCCAGCTGCTGGCCCTGAAGGTGCAGGTCATGCGGCAGGTGCTGGAGGCGCTGTTCCTGGACCTCCCAGCCTTGTGGGCATGTCCAACGAAGAACTGCAGGAATTGTGGACCACCAACAACCAGCGCTTCGAGCTCTGGCAGCAGATCAAGGGGTTCCGGACCCACCTCGACCAGGACGTGGCTTCTGAAGCTCCTTCTGATTTTGGTAATGAGGAGCAGAATCGGTTTGAGTTGGAAACGCTCAAAAAGCGAAGTACCGATAACGCACCTACCCGATGCGAACTTGACAAGATGGGGGAAAAAAAAAACAAACTCACGCAGAAGCGGCCCAGATCAAGGCCGCTAAACCTTTGCGCGCAGTTCGCGATTGCGCAGCGGCCTCTTCCAACCGAGTCTTTGAGCAGATGCGTCCTGCGGCCCCCGATCGTCCTGCGCAGGCTGGCGGTGGCCAGACTTCAGGTGCACAGCGATCTTCTCAACATCGTCGGTGCGCTGGAGGTGTCGAGGGTCCTTAAGCATCCCTCGGCTATAGATTTGATGTTATGCAATATTACTTCGTGGAGCCAGATGACTCTGGACTCCCTGCAGCAGATTAGGCCCCTGTGCGACGGCTTCTTCACTGCTAAGCATCATCTTCTGAAGGACCTCTTGCGCGCCAAACGCAATGCTTCCCAGACCGGCTGGATGCCGCGTCTGAAACCAGCCCCCCCTCCCCTGGGGGGGGGGGGGGGGGGGGGGGCGCTCATGGGGGGGTAGGGGCTGCGGCTTCTAAAGGTTTGAGTTGTCGTTGTTCATCTGCCTCGGACTCGAGCCTGTGCGATTTAGACAGCGGCCTCACTTAACCTTTTTTGGAGTTCAAAACAAAGCAATGTGCGATTGCTGAAGGCGCGATATACAGAATTTATGACCTGGGCTTTTCGTGGGGGAAAAATCGAGCGGATCCGTGCCGTTTCTGAGTTCCCTGGGACCCTGGCCATCCCCTGACTTGTGATGGGAGGTTTCAATGTGCCTGTGGGAGACGTGGACCTGTCCGGCCCCCCTATGCTTGCACGCGCCCGCTGTCGTGTGTCAGATGGTGTAGAGGTAGCTTGTACCCAGGGACGTGGCACTCTCATTGACTACGCGACTGCCTCCGATGACTTGGCTGATTTCGTGCATGTCAGCACTTTTACGCAGAGCCCGTTCAAGACGCATGCGCGCCTGGAAGTATGCATGCAACATGGGGCGCTTGAACAGTGCACGCGGCAGCGTTGCAAGCCCTTGCCCTTTCCTGAATGTCCTGGGCCTGACTTGCCCTGGACCAGCATTTCTTGGCATCGGCGACACATGTTGGGCGTGATGAGTTGCTGCCTGATGCCCTTGTATCTTTTAGACGCATAGGTTCCGCATGTGCAAGACAATTGGACCGAAGGGCTAACCAATCTCTATCGCACCTGGTCTAAAGCGACCGAAGCCAGATTTTTGTCTCGCGCGGTTGCAGTTGACCAGAGAGAAAGCCGGGTAAAGCGAGGTGGTTGTCCTGCGGCCCGGTGCTCTTCTATTGGCGTGAGAGGCCCTGCAGGCCAGGGCCTCCGAGAACCTGAACTTGCCTTTTAGGCGCAGCTTTCTCAGGACATGCGCGGGCATCGGCTTTGCCTGGCGCGTAAGTCTACATTTGTGGTCTCGAGCTGAGGCGGCGCCCTCCAGGGTTTAGCCTCGCAGCTGGGCAAATGCATTTATGCCGACGATGCGCGCGGCGTCGGTTGCTTGCGCTTCCAGATCGCCCCCCTTCCCACTGGGGTTAAGAACCTCGACGCCCTGGCTCGCAAGTCGCTCAGAGCTCGCATGAAAGACTGGCGACTGAGAGCCTTTCCCAAGGGCGCTAGAACAGCGCGTGCTTGGCTCGAGCATGACCTTGGTGATGCCCCCCAAGTTTTGTCGACCCCTAGGGGGGTCGTCAGCCCCCTGGGGATCTCATGGATTACCGCCGTGCTTTCTGGTGCCAGGTTTGGGAGTCCGTTGATGGTAGTAGCTTGATTTCTGGAGCGCTGGGCGCGCTCAGACCCCGAGCCTCCGAATCCATCGGGGCCCTGGGCCCTTGGGGACCCGTTGATGTCCAGGGGGCGGCTCGCTGTTTCTCTGCTCCCACTGCCGTGGGCGTCGGCTCTTGGGCCCCTAGGGCGCTGATGGATTTACCTCGGGATGCTGTTTTGGGGCACGCGCACCTCCTCAATCAGCGTGAAGCCCTTCTGTCCTGGCCCTCTCAGGTGCATCTGAGTGTTATTGCTTTGTCACAAGAAATCGAATGTCACCGTCCTATCTGTAGATGTCCAACGATATACGGGGTGTGTTGTAAGTTCAGGAATTCACATCTGGATATGGAGTTCTGAGAGGTACAACTTCTTGGGGCACTGCAGTGAGGGGGTCCAGTGCGCTCCAGGCTGTTTTGCTTCGCGAGCTCGGTCACGAAGTTACCCGCATCCTCGGGCCATGCTCGATCGGCGCCCGTTGGGGTCTAAAACGACGTTTCGATTCGGTCCAGCCGAGCAGGCTGGTCGAGTTTTCTGTGAAGATGGGTTACCCGCTCCACCTCCTCTACCTCTGTATGATTATGCATGAGTCCCCCCTAGTGTTAGAAGTTGGTGGCTTCGTTCCTGAGATCATCCCTCCTGGGCGAGGTGTACTAGCGGGGTGGGTGCAATCCTTCGGCTACGATGTGTGTATATGGTAGATTGGGCCTTGCGCGTATCCAGCATCGCCCTGTGCAGTTGAAAGCTTACGTTGACGACATCACCCGGTCTCAGGTAGGCCATATGAAGGATGTCTTGAACTCGTTATTCCCTGCTGCTGTGTTGTTGGCCCTCAGCTTGATGGAGTGAGTTGCACCAGCTCGTCCAAGCCTGCTCTTGTGCAGTCTTGCAGAGCTTGATCGTGAGCTTGCCGCGTGGTTCAGGGCGACTGGTTGGCCCGTCGAGCTCCAGGCAGCGGCTCGAGATCTGGGGGGGCATGACCACGGCAGGAACATCTATACATATATATATATATATATATATACATATACATACATATATATATATATATATGTATTGAAATTGACGCAGCGTCGCAGCCAGACCTCCAAGAAGGCCAAGAAGGTTGCCTACCTCACTCGTATCGTCGGTAGTGCCCGACGACTGCATAAACCTGGGGCCCTCGCCGTCGGTTCGTGGTCTCACCAGGTTTTGGGCCTCGCTCCTGGGCAAATCCAGTCGATGAGGGCCCGAGCGGCCATGCGTGGTGGTAGATGTTCCCCTGGGGCTTGCGCTACCACGGTCTGGGGGCTTATCAGCGCTGCCAAGGATGACCCGCAGTTTAGGCTTCGCTGCGGACAACATGCTAGTTTCTACGATGTTTGGCAAAATCTTAATCATACTAAACGTGAGGAGGTTGCTCGGTGTTGGGAGCTTATTGTTGAGAAGTTCCGCAATGCCAGACATCAATGGCAATCTGTTCGCGGCCCTTTAGCTGCGACCTGTGGCGGTTCTGCTCGACCTGAATGTCTTACCGTGCAGTCCTGTCGACTGGCTGTTTCCCAATGGGGTGCGCATCCACCTCGGCGGCCAGGCTTTCCCCCATGCTCTCTGGCTCGCTTTCGTGGAGGCGCGCGGGGGCACGTCGCGGGGCGGGGCTGCCACGCGCGATGATGGGTCAGGTTTAGGAGGGGGGGGGGGGGATTATGCGGCCCCGCGGGCGTTTTTATTAGAAAGCTGGAAAATGACGGCTCTTATGAGGCCGCCAGCGCGCGTCGCAACGTGATGACTGTTGGTTTTTGGACCGAGGGCCGTCTTGCTCAGGCCGGCTACGAGTCGGCCACGGATGGCGTTCGCCCTCGGCGCGGCCACGAGGCCGAATCTGTTGCTCATTGCGTCTCTTTTTTGGCGGGTTTGTCCGGACGTTTTCGGCCGCAAGGGCCGATCCTAGTGCTTCGCTTGACAGCAAGCACACACACACGCACACACGCACGCTCGGGCTCGTTCGTTCGTTCATCATCCTTCTCCTCCTCCTCCTCTTCCGTCTCCTCCCCCATCCACCATTGGGTTGCCCTTTCGAACGTTGTCCCGCAGAGACAGAGAGAGAGAGAGAGGAAAACAAACGAAACAACACAACATAACATCAAACATACATAGATATCGGGCCGGATAGGAAAAGAGAAAAAGACAGCCATGAATTTGGCAAGATGGCGATACGGCCGCTATAGCGCGATAGTTCCGGCGGTTCTGCTGTGGAACTGGCGTGAATTGACGGGATGCACACTCTTATTTCGGTGTCCTTGCGGATTGCGAAACAATCCACTTGAACAAGTGCATGTTTTCCAGGTTTCGGCTGTTGGGGTGCGGTATCGGACCCAGGGCCGGTATCAAAAATGGGTAGGGGCCAACGACTACATGTAGGCAAGGAGTGGGGATCCCTGGGGCCGCGCGATGAACAAATCACATCGTCGGATGTCCGGCCCCTCGGAGATCCGACGATGCAAATAATATCCAACGTCGACGAAAATGACGGTTCGCTGCATTTCATGAGCCGTCGATTTGCGAGGGTTTTCGAGTTGGGCGAACACAGCCACAGTGTGAACCAAAATGCGGCTGACGCTTGTGCGCAAGATCGATGTCTGGGATCTGGAAGAAGGGGGACGTGAGGTTGAATTAGGAGGAGAGGAGGAAGGAGGATCAGGTCTAGTTGCCATTAAGGAGGAAAGCGGTGGAGGACAATTGATAAAAAGTGTGGTGCCTAGGGTCAACGGGCGTAATTCCTCTGCCGATCTCACAGGTGCGAAGAAGACGGCGAAGGGGAAAAAGGGGAAGAAACCGCGGAACGACGAGAGGGGCGACGGGGACGAGGCCGACGACAACGGCGAGGCGGAGCAGCCAGCGAAGAAGGACCATGGGGCGGGGGCGCCGTGTCCCCCCGCCTTCGGCGGCTCAAAGATGGGCTGTGGGAGATCGGGCTCTCAGGACAGCAAGCATCCCAGGTGGAATTGACACTGTTTAGCGCCACTCGTCCTCATGGCTTCAGCCCGCAGGGCCCACCATTTTAGGATGGAGCTCCTTGAAGGTTAAATTCAGCATCGGCGCTTGTATATCAATGGTCG